GGGGGGGGGGTGGTATAGCACATAACATACAGTGCAAGGGTTTGGCAGGGAAAATAAATTCTGGCCAAAATATGTAGTATTAGTAACGGCCATAAACCCAGCTAGGGAGATAGTGCTATAGAGATGTTGAACATACAGTATTTCTGACATTTCAGAGTCAAGTCAACAACAGTTTTCTAGACTAAGTCACTGAGCAGGATGTTAATCATCTGAGTTCTCTTTACCATTTGAAAATGCTTTGTGCAAGAAAAGAAATGCTACAAGAAAGAAGAACAGTGTCTGTATAACTGCAACGGAGGCCTTTGACAAACTGGAAAAAGGACACCTGTTGTACTCAGACACCACCTGGTGGACAAAAATGAGAGGCTAATAACATAAGAGAGGGCCGTGGCAACCCCTGGCCCATGGGCCACATCCGGCCCACTGAGCTTTTGTGTCACGGCATCTGTGGTGGGGGAGTTCTCCCTGAATTGTAACACAGCTGGGAGCCCGAGGCATCAGCAGAGGAGGGCTCTCTCTGGGCTGTGCCAGAGCCAGGTGGCAGGGAGAAGCAACGGAGTAAGCCAGGCCTGGTCTGCCTGCCTCAGACCTGAGCTGGGTCATTCCAACCACCCGCCGGAAAACATTGCTGATCCCCGCAATAGCCCTTTATCAAGAATCTATCTGCAAGACCCCACTAAACAAAGTAAAGTCTTCTCAAATGATAAATTATCCACACCATGGACAGTCAAAAGACCTTTCCCATATAATGACCTCAGTGAGGGCTTCCAAACACCTGGCCCACCAGATGATAACAACTCCCCCTCACCAACTGCTTTGACGAACAAAGGTCGCCCAGACGTCTGAGTTGCTTCAAGTATTTGAAACAAAGCTTGCGCCCAGCGCCAGGAAGACTGCTGCTGCCACTGGCCCAAGGCAGCAGTGGCAGCCTCCTGCCATTTGGTGTGCAGATCTGGGGGCCTGCACCCCACAGGAGGGGTCTGGCACAGCTGTACCAAACACTGCCTGGTGGGGGGGCTTTCTTCCACGCCCAGCAGCAGGTTCTGCCAAGATTTTGCTGCAGCTCAGCCCCAAGGGGTGAGCCCGAAGCTGGCACGGGGCCCAGGCTAGCAGCAGCAGCGGGTTATGAGCTGCCTGTGCCTGCTCTCTGGTGTTGTGGAGGAAAGGCAGGACAGTGGGCGCGGGCCCCTGATCTGCGAGCTGGATGACAGGAGGCTGCCACTGCTGCCTTGGGGCAGCAACAGCACCAATCTTCCCGGCATTGGGCACAGGCTGTGCCCAGCGTCAGTCCCAGGCGGCAGCAGCAGCCTCCTGTCCTCTGGTGTGCAGATCCGGGGTCCCGCACCCCTGAGAGGAGTATGGCACAGTCCTGCAGCCCTCCCCTGATCTGTGCGCCAGATGACAGGAGGCTGCTGCTGCTGGCTGGGAAGCCAAGTAAGTCCAGCTTTGAAACTTGACATGTTTCGAGTGCCCTTGTTTTGTTTCAAAGCTGTTTCGAAGGCTTTTGTTTCATTTCAATTTCACTGTTTCGAGCTTGAAATGCATCAAAACAGCTTCGAAATGAAACACCAGGCAAAATTTTGCACTGCCCTATTGCTCACGTCACTTTAACAAGATTAACTTTGTTCAGCAGAAAACAGTTGGTATTTACAGTTTCCTTATTTCCTTTCTATAGGACAGTCAGTTTCCCCATTTGTTTCTATGGGTCTTTAACATAGGAAAATAAGGAAAAAGAAAAAGAAAGAAAACAAAAACGCAATGGTAAAACCTCAATATTGACAAATAGACTGAAGAACAGGTATGGGACTTGAGGCTACTTTAAATCTATTGCGTTGCCAAAGAATATTTAAAAGTTTTAACATTTCCATCTCAAGGGCTGTAAACAAACACCAGAAGTGACACTCTGCCCAAGTGAAGTCAATGGAAAGTTTTCTATTGACTTTAGTGGGACAAGGATCTCATCCCATGTACTTAAGACAAGGTGACAGAGGACATAACAGCAACTACAGGGCAGACTACAATCAGCAAACAAGGAAACACTATTATGGAACACAATCAACAATGAGTAAGAATGAGCAATGCAACACTGGCAAAACTCCAAATGCCATGCTGGTTATTAATAAAAGGATCCCAGGCCAAACAAGAAAAATTACTTCACACCATTAACAAGCCACCAATACCCAACAAACAGTTTCTAAAATACAGGTAATTATTTGGGGGAGGTGGGGAGAAGGTGGGGGGAGAAAAAAGGAGCATGCTACAAGGCATTAAAAACAAGTTATTCTGCTGTTCCTTTCGTCACGTTTAACCTTTGCTCCTGCATTTCCAAAGAGGGAAACAATACAGATGGGAAATAAGGACAGTGCTTTATCACAGACAAGGCCACCAAGCCATGCACAAACCACAGCAACCCTGAGGCTGCTTCAATTTACACTGAGGCTGACAGGTCCCCATACAACCCTGGAGCCTAGGGAAAAGCTGAGGTACCGTAAAGCAGCCAGCTGCTTTCCTGATCTGGGGACAGCCACATGTAGAATGAAAAGCTGGACCCAAACACACCTCTGCATCCTACCACTAGGCTGAGCAGAAGAGCAGCTACATTAGGTGCACTGTCACTTTGTATCCAGTCTGTGCTTTAGAGCCAACTGGCAGCCTGAAGACCTGAGGGATTAACCTGTGCCAGCTGCTGTTTCCCCCATCCCTCCAGCTGGAGGTTCAGCCTCTTCCTTCTCACTCCAGCCACCCCCTTCCTGCCCCTGCCCCAAAGAGCAGGCAGAACTCAATTGTTCTAAACACCATGTACAGTGCTGCAACTGATAAGTATCCTTCATCCCAGACCTCTCACCCTGAGACTTCGCATGCTCCCAAATCCATTGGCAGGCATCCTATGGACAGGTCCAAGCCCAGGGGTCTTGGGGTACGGATGCCCCCAGATACTACAGGTAAGCCTCCTCCATCCCAGACTCTTTCATCCGGGGCTTCGGATACTCCCTACACTAGATCTTACCCCACAAGCGGTGAAAAAGTAGGGTTGCCAACTCTGACTGAAGCTATTCTAGGAGATTTTTTTCCCCAGCATGATATAATGTCATTAATAGGGGTGCACCATTACAGATTTTTTGGGCCGGTGGCCAATTTTTAACGAGCCATATCGGCCATTACCGATCCCGTTGCCGATATGCAGCTGGGCAGTTGTTCAGCTGGTAAGTCTGCTGGGGGAAGGGGCGATGGGGGAGGGAAGGGACATGGGGGGGCACAGATCGAGGCCCCCATGGTGAGGGAGGGAGTGGGGCTGGGACAGGCGCTGCTGGGCAGAGTGCAGGATGGAGCCAAGAGTGGCTTGTCTGGGGGGGAATGGGGGTGGCTTCCGCTGCTGTGTGCACCCTGGATCTGTGCACAGTATGGGGACCGTGTCTCCCTGGATCTGCGCACGGGGTGAGGGCGGGCTGCTGCAGGCTGGGGCCAGGGTGGTCCTGGACTCTTCCCGGAGGTGGGTGAGCCAGGCTGCACTCAAGGTGGGCTTTGGTGGAGCTGGGAGGGGCTGCAGCCACCCCAAAATTTGCCATAGTCGCTATCCCACCATCACCACCACCCACCCCAAGCGCAAATCTGGGGGCACATTTATAGATTGTTAGGGGCTGGAAGGGATCTTGTAGAACATCGGGTCCAGTCCCCCTGCACTAGGCAGGAAAAGACAACTGGGGTAAAGTGATCCCAGCAAGGTAACTGTCCAGTCTCCTTTTGAAGATTTCCAGAATAGGTGACTGCACCACCACTGGAGGGAATTTAGTTTTTCCTGAAATAGAGCCTGAAGCAGCCTTCCAGGTGTTTGTATCCATTGCTCCTGGTCTTCCCCAGGGGTGCCCTGGTGAACAGCTGTTCACTGAGTTCTTGGTGTATACTCCCCTAATGTAGCAGTAAGCTGCTACCAAGTCCTCTCTCAGCCTTCTCTTTGTAGAGGCCCAAGTCCCTCAGCCTTTCCTCGTATGGCTTGTCTTCCAAGTCCCTGGTCATACAGGTGGCTTTTCCCTGGACCTTCTCAAGTTTTTCCACATCCTTGTTGAAGTGTAGTGCCCAGACCTGGACACAACACTCCAGCTGCAGCCTTACCACTGCGGAGTACAGTGGGAGTATCACTTACTTAGTTTTGCATGGGATACAACGGTTAATGATTGCCAACGTGTTGTTTGCCCTGCTGGCCACAGCAGCGCACTGCTGCCTTATGTTCATGCAATGGTGGATCACTACTTCTAGGTCT